TCCTTCTCTTCAGGGCTGCTCTCACCCCACCTTCTGCCCACTTTGTGCCTTGAAACTCTGCTCTTCCCAAGGTGTGCTTCTGCACACATCCAGTTTATTCTCACATTGGACGGGGCTGCCACAGCTTCTCTGGGCAACCCTTTCCAGGGTCTCACCACCCTCACACTGAAGAATTTCTCCCCAATACCCAGCTTAGCCGACCTTGCATTTAGATAAACCCAGGAAACATGAGGCTTTCCTAGTCAGCCTGTCCTCAGCAGCAAAATGCTCGGCTCAGGGGTGGGAGCATTTGAGCATCCCAGGGCATCGGTCCCTGCATGGCTGGGAAAACTCATACCCCCAAAAAAGAAAAAATGTTTTGCAAAGCACTAATGTCTTATAAAAAGGTTTCTGTGAGGCTTTTGTTGTTACTGAGCTGTGCATACAAGTGTTAAAAGCTGGAGTTATGTTTCAGGCAGGCCCTAATTCTTTAAAATTCTGGTTTCGTTCTTAAACTATTGATGCTGCACTTTGCTCTTAAATGTCAGAACAAAATAAGTAATACCTGCAATTTATTCAGATGACATTTCAACAATACAAGATTTTCAGATTACAAACCGCAGCCCCCTGTTTCTTGAGGAGTTACTCTGAATGTGTAGATTTTGTGGATTTACATAATGGGTTTGTATAATGAATATTTATATAATGAAAGCATTTACATAATGACTGCAAGTTAAACATGCACAATAAAGATTCCAGGCCAACAATTTATGTACTAAGTTGAAAATCGCCTCTAAATACATTTTATTTTTATTCCTACGGAAGGTTCATTTTATCTCTTGTTCAAAAAAATTGAATCCAACCTTATCCAAGCGAAGGCTGCGTTGATGCAAGCCGTGATAATATTTTGGAATTAGTCTACATCGAATAATTTGTATTCAGAGTTTTCAGTTTCTTATCTTTTAGTAGCAGCTTTGACAAACAATTTCGGAATATTCTAAATATGATTCATTAATACAATTTAGTGTTGTACTCTAGACGTGATGCTTGCATGTAAGCCTCATTAGTGCCACTGGGAATTACAGGAGAAAACTGGTAGAAATTATGAAGTGCAGATGAAGCTTATGCTTAGATAAAGGTAATTTGCTGCAGACAGAACACAAACCGTTAGAGAAATCCGATGTTTTCAACTCTTGCGTTTTGTTTTCTAATAAATCCAGGCTTCTTGTTTGCCAGACTGATATTTAATTGGATTTGAGTGCTGTTGTACTCTCTGTACACAAGAACACACACCTGAGAACAACAGTGGGACCGAGCTACTGAAAGGCAGAATTTCTCCTTATTTTGCAGACTAGTGGGAAGAACATATTCTGTAATTTGCATGAATGATCACATTTTTCCTCTCAGTCCCATGCTCAACCCTTTAGTCAGTATACCAAATCAGTGGGTTCACTGAAAGCCCTTGCAATTACGTGCATTAATTTTGTCTAAATTCAAGCTGAGGAGGATCTATCTCGTTCCTCCTCAGGCCCCTTCTCCAGCCAAAGTGCACTGATGCTCCTTTTCTGCTTTTTCCTCTCTGGGAAAACTTTAACAGCTCCTTTCTGTAGACAATCTAACGCTTTAAGCTATTACTGTAAACCATCACCACAGTTTCCAATAAAATTTTATGTGACATTTAGTTAAAATCCATTTTTTGCTACAACTGAATTTTTTCACTAGTCCCTTGACGGACACTTCAAGCGGAATTTGCTGTCATTGTCTTAAAGGTCAGAAGTTGCTCATTCTTTTTTTTTTTTTCCCCCCCAGATCTTGCTTTGTAGAGCAAACGGTTACTCAGGATTATGAGACACTTAAGATTATGTGATGCTCCATGAAAATGCATGGATTTCATAAAGGTTGTGGGTGCAAACAGAAAGACCTTCACTGAAGATCCAGTATTACTGTAGAGTCCCTGTGGAAGAACTGGTGCCAGACCAGTCCTGCACACAACGCTTGGCTGGAAATGGGGAGCACGTCCTTTCAGAAAGACAAGCCCACCCTGGATTTCTAAAGCCGGTACCTCTGAGCTCTGGAGTGGGGCTGTCCCCCATCCGAGCAAGACAAGACCCCACTTTGCTGGCAGGGAGCTGGCTGGCTGGCCCAGCACCAAGCCAACTGCTGCGGAGATGCCCATAGTGCTAGCGAAAATCTTTCCTTTCCATGAGGAATTAAAAGTATAAATAGAAATATAAAACAGAAACAACGCTTTTAGGTGCCATTTTGTTTGCGCTTCTTCATCCACATAATTTAATTTGTTCAGCGAAACCCTTCTAACGAACTATGCTGTATCATGGAATAAAGGCTCAACGGTAGTTACAGTAAATTAAATCTATTGAGTGACGTGTTAATGTTTTTAACTTTAATTCCTGCTTCTAGAGAGCCCTATGCATTCTTATTTCCTCGTTTTGTTTTTAATTGGAATTGTTTGATAGATGACTGCAGCCTGTTAAAACAGGCTTAAGCCCACACTCATGTTGAGGGTGCCTTCATTCCTACATTCCTACATTCCCGTGTTACGGCAGTATTAGAGTTTTCAATGGGACACCTGAAGAAGCTTTTATTTTCTGAAGGTCAGATTGGGCGCTGGCTTTTTAACGTGTGCAGAAGGGATGCTGTCACCCTTCTGAAATCCAGGGATCACTGAGCCTGTTGCCTTGTTTTTATATAGCTTGGGCAAAAAAGACTGTTTCCCACGATGGGGAAAAATCCACCATAGCGAAAAATCTGTGATAGAGAAAAATCCTCCGTGGGCTGTGCTTACCGGAGGGAGAGATGTGTCTCCAGGAGATGGAAGGCTCCGGCTTCCCCGTGGCCAGGCACACCAGGGTGACGTTGCTCCCTTCGTTCACCACGATGTCGCTTGAAATACGAAATATCTTCGGGGAAACTGGAAAGAAACAAGGAGAGGGTTGGGACGGGAACACCTGGATTGCTGTTATTAGAGGAAAATCCACACCATAGCCGAAAAACGGATATGGAAAAACCTGGCTTAGGTGTGACCACAGCTATTTCCACCACATTTGCAGCAGCTCAGTCGTGGGTTCGGATGCTTGTGTTTAAGAGAAGATTGAGCTTGCTCGTGACAGCTTGAAAAGAAGAAGAAATTCAATTCTTCTTGTGCTTTTAGAAATAATAATGCCTAGCACATCTACTTCATGCATGCGTGCAAAGTCGTATGTGTTCACGGAGAGGCCTAAAATACATTTTTTTCTGTTGTTTTGCACTGCTTTTAGGCTTGCAGTAGCAACATGCTTAAGAAAAAATAAAGCTGAGGGGTTATTTTTTTCATTTCATCAGTAGAATTCTTCACCAAACTACGTTTTCTGTACAATTAATACATTAGAAAACAGAGTTCCACATGGATGGAAAATGATGGAAAATGGCCCACCCTTAAGGGACTGCTTTACTTCTTGTGATGTTACAGAGGGAGGAAAGGAACGTAGGGTCCCACCAGCAAAGGCAGGAATTCTGGATTGCAGAATGAATCTTTCTTTCTAAAGAAATCCATATTTCTTTACATGTCTTATTATGAAGTTTTATGTAGAAATCAAATCAACATGGTAAAAAGACATAACCTTCTGAAAATGCTATATTTGATATGATAAATATAATATTTTGTACAAATACCTGTAAAAGATACAGATCTTACACATAGGTGTTTCAGAACCTTCTGTGACCTGTGCCCTCAAATGGGGCGTTGTTAATACAGGTCTCCCCTCCCCAGCTCAAGTTAAATATAATCAAGATTTCAGCTTTGCAACAGACCAAGCATTGAGAGACATTCTTATTTATGTGTACAGGGTACGAAAAATAAATCTACTTCCTGAAAACGGACTGAAATGCAGAAATCCATCTGAGAGCAGGCTACTGTGAGTAATGGGCCATATGCAGTGCCTTTATTCAGTCTACAATATCTTAAAAATATCTTCCTAAATCTGAGTCCCTTACTTCTTTATCCTTCAAGATCGAATGTACCTCCAGAAAGTCAAGTAAAGGAATCAAATAACATAAAACAGTTCTTCTCACAAGTAAATAGATACAACTGATTGATGCCATATTTGTTGGGAACTGGAGAAGTATCTTCCAGATTAAGTAAAAGGTACAGTTTAAGATTTCCAACAACATTAAACTTCTTATTTGAGGTTCTGCACCTCTGAAGGGAGAAAAAGAGAGAGACTTGCTCATGTTCTGGCACTATTGAAGCAATGCTATTTATCTGGCACCCAGTGCTATTTATCCAGGTGATTTTTGCTTGCCTTCAACTTGTCACTAAATGCAGAGACTGAGTCTGGAGCCCCCGTGGTGTCACGATGGCATCAGGGGAACCAGCACGAGCCAAAGCGAGTGAAAGGAGGTCTCCTGGGGCTTGGCTGGGACAGGGTTGGGAGTGGTTCTAGTGCCTTCTCTTCCCTGCATCCATCACCAGAAAACAGGTGGGTGAAACATCCACTCATTTTTCAGTGCACTGATTTAATCAGCGCCACTGATGAAAAAAGATTAGAAATGTAAGAATATTAATTTCAGTGGGGATGAGGTGCCCTTGGCACAGTCTGCTGCTGGTCCTTCAGGTCACTTGCTGGAGGTCCCATGAGCAGAGCCGCATAAGGATCCAGCAGAAAAGCTGGGTCATGTAAGAATTGTCACTAAATACCCCCTAATATAAATTTGCAAAGAAAATGTACTGGCTGTGCTACCACAGGCAGGAATCTGAAGGAACAGGATTTCTTTCAATTCCCACTGCTGTTTTACCACGACAAAGATCAGCACAGTCTGCTCCTTCCTCTGCTGCTCGATGCCAGTGTTGTCTCCATCCTCCTCTGCCTCTCCTCATAAGGTTTTATTTGCTCTTTACCACTCTGCTCCTTTTCAAGTGTCCTCACAAAAAGCAGCTTATTTAGCCCCATGCTCAGTCTCCCAGCCCTGGATTTCCTCCTGCAGCCCCAGCTCTTCCCCTCTCTTCCTTGTTTTAGGACAGCCACTGACTTCAGCTGTCGGTCTTACCCGTCCTGGTGATGGTTTTGCCCATCATGTTCCAAACCTAAACCTACAGTATTTCGTAAAATATTGTGATTTTGATAAAACCGTATGTCCTAATGGCAAGCAATTATGGAAATTATTCTACGTGTAACCTCTGGTTATGGAGCACGGAATTCGATACAAACAAAATTCAACCCGAAATTCAACCCTCTGTCAACCTCTACGACATATTTGTGGGGTCTATGGCCAGAGGGGCCAGCAGGATAGTTTAGTTGGAGCTCCAACAGTTGCAGTCTCTAGAAATTTTCCCAGAGGCCTGACTAAAGCAGATGTTTTAGGAAGCTGTCTAGTCTTATCCTGGTGATTCCAGGTGATGCTCACGCTGCCGTGGCTGGTGAGCACTTTCAGGAAACAGCATCTTAGTTCAAAATTGCATTCCACTAAATTCAGCTTTCAGAAATCAGATCTTATTATGTTTTTGTCTGCAAGACTGAACATCCCCCTTACTGTCAAGCATCTTTCCCATGACTAAGGACCCATATGTGATAAATCACCTCTTCATCTCGCTCTGCAGATGATTTGAACACCACAAGCATCATTTTTGTAAGGCTTCCTAGATAATATTTGTTTCTCTCTTTTGAGAAATATCTGAAAAAAGGGTCTCATTTCTCATTTTCAAGGGCTGGAATTACATTCTTAGTTACACTTACATGTGCATAAGTGATGCAGCATAGTAAAGCTTTCCACTGGAGTGGGAATGCCTGCAGGGTAGAGCTGCTCTCTTAGTTGCTGTTGCTTTTGTGGGTATGGGAAAGGATGTCTTATTTTCATCACAGTTTAGAATTACCAGGGTAAAAATCTGGGGCCTCTGCATAAGTGCACCTATCTTGTTAACTAAAATATGTGCTGCCTTACTGCTTCCTCTGTTGAAATATCCTACCAAAGTCTGAGCAATGTCAAAATTACAACATACGTGGCTAGAGACAGAGCTCTGTTTCTTCCAAAGGTTCCCCCAGATAAAGGTGATGACAAGTTATGAGCTACATTTTTTATAGTTATGTTTATTAAATCACATAGTAGCCAACTCCCTTTTCAGATTATAATGTAATCGATCCTGTTTTATATAGAGAATCTAGCCAATCCCAACAGAACATATAAAAACTGCCAGAGGAATTGGATTATAAGCGCAGAAGTGTTAAATCTGTGAGTTTGGCAAGAGAGATTTTACCACTAGGTAAAATTTTACCCTCCCAGGTGCTGTAAGTATAGCTGAAGCTTCGTGTATTTGTTTTTCAATTAAAAAATGAGTTGGGGTTTTTTTGTGAAAAATAAGTATTTTTGTGAAAAAGAAATATTATATAGCCCCTTTTCCAGAATCACAAATACCCTTGAGTTCTTCATCCAAATGCTGGGTTGCACCCCCACCTCTCTGTCTGATAATAATTTTATTTTTTTTTTCCTAATTATAACTCCATAATTAAGCAATAAACATGGAGGGAAGAGCAGACGCTGCTTTCAGCAGCTGAACTGACCATTTCTTTTGGACTGGAATTAACGGGTTGACCAACTCATCTGTGTAAATGCTGCCCAGCACACCTCAGAGCCCCCCTGGGCCACGCATCGTGGGTCTGCTTAATGCTTTGGGCACAAAAGATGCTGTTTGGGGTCTGGGCTGCGGTGTGGCATGGAAGCAACCTGGTGTGTTGTGATTCAGCCTTTCCTTCTGTGGAAGTTTCTTCCAGGGAGGGGGCTGCCACATCTTCTCTGGGCAAACTGTTACTCACCATCCTCACAGAGAAGAATTTCTTTCTAATAACTAATTTTGAAACCACCACCCCTTGCTCTATCATTTCCTCTCTGCCTTCATTATTTCTATCTCACTTGTTCCCTGAGCTCTCTTAGATGCTCTATTACACAAGTGCAACTGAGTTTCAAATAAGAAAACCAGAAGAAAAGGCAGTCAAGCCCAGGCACAAGCACAAAGTGGGCAGAGAGTGGGGTGAGAGCAGCCCTGAAGAGAAGGACTTGGGGTATTGCCAGAGGAGAAGCTCAGCCTGAGCCGGCAGGGTGCTCGTGCAGCCCAGAGGCCAGCCCTGCCCTGGGCTGCATCCAGAGGAGTGTGGCCAGCAGGGCAGGAGAGGGGATTCTTCCCCTTTGCTCGGCTCTGCTGAGACCCCACCTCCAGCACTGCACCCACTTCTGGTGTCCCCACCGTAAGCTGGACATAAAGCTGTTGGGACGAGTCCAGAGGAGGCCACAAAGCTGACCCAGGGGCTGGAGCAGCTCTGCTGCGAGGACAGGCTGAGGGAGCTGGGAGGGTTCAGCTGGAGAAGACTCCGGGGGGACCTTATCCCTGCCTGCAGTGCCTGAAGGGACCTACAGGGAGGCTGGGGAGGGACTTTTGACAAGTGTCCAGCCACAGGACAAGGGGATAGGGATTTAAACTGAAGGAGAATGGGTTTAGGCTGGATCTTGGGAAGAAATTCTTCAGCCCGAGGGTGGCTAGACTCTGGGCTAGGTTGCCCAGAGAGGCTGGGGGGGGCGCCGCCCCCGCGGGAGTTT